CCACAAAGCCCAGCTATTTTTTTTTTTTTTTGGCTGGAGCTGGGTTTGAACATGCCACCTCTGGCATATGGGGCCAATGCCCTTCTCCTTCAAGCCACAGGCGCTGCCTCCAGCTATTTTTCTGTTGCAGCTGTCATTGTTGTCTAGCTGGCCTGGGCTGGGTTTGAACTTGCCAGCCTCGGTGCATGCGGCCAGCACTGTAACCACTGTGCTATGGGCACCGAGCCCCTTTGCTCTATTATAAATTTATAAGAGCAGCTCATGAGAAATCTTACACACATTTTATTTATGTGATAATTGTAGGCCAGCCTGGAACCATCAGTGGCTCCGTTAGGTAGGGGCAGATGGTGCCACCTCCTTTTCCTTACTGTCTGCCGTCACGGGCTGTGCTTAGTGTGATAATGTGTTTAAGCATCTTTTCTTCCTTTTTGGCTCCCCTCAGCTCTTCCATTTTCCCTTGTCTTTTTTAATCAAGCAGTATTTTTCATTTTGGTAATAAGATACACGTACAAGTATGAGAGGCATCTTCCTTCCTTTTTATAACATAATTCCTGCAGGGAAAATGATTCTTCTATTACAACTCTCAAGTTCTCCAACCCTGAAACCAGTGCTTATGAAACCCAGACCTGTCAACCAACTGCCAAAAGTCCCCAAGGCAAATGGCACAAAGTACCACTTGGTACAATGATACAAAGTCAGATTCCTGGGCCCCAACCCAGCCTCCTGCATGGGAATTCCTTTGGACTGGGGCCCAGGAATCTGTATTCTTATCTAATTCTTTGAGTGAGTCTGTGCTCACTAGTGTGAGAGTTAGTACTATTATCCTCATTATCATCCCCTTTATTCTACTGAGATTTTTGTCTTTATAATGTTGGGGATTGGGGGGGCCTTTTTTTTTTTTTTTTTTGGTGACATTGGAGTTTCTTGTGATCAACCTGTTACAACACGACAGATAACAGAGTGGTGCCTTTTTGACCCTAGATCTACTCTGTCCCAGTTAGCTTTCCAGCTCCATCAGCAGTTCCATGATCCTCTCAGTAGTGCAAGCAGGGAAGAGTTACCCCCTCCTATACTCATCTGCATTAAGTATCCAAATATCATTGATGGATCTTCCTAAAGCATTACATTGCTCACAGAATCTCTGGAAATCTCAGTGCTTACAGAATGCATGCCCAATCCTGAGTCTAGCATTCCAAGGCCTTTGTAATCTGATGCCAATTTGTCTTTCCAAACTCATTGTATATAGGGAGATGCAGATAGTCTTTTCCAAAGTACAATGTCTTTTAAGCATGTAACTATTTATCTGTCTCCACCATGCCTCACACAGGGCCTCATACCTGTGTCTTAGTTTGGTTTATCCCCAAAACAAACTCTAAGACAAGGATTTATGTACAAGTAGCCAGGCAGTTCCTACAGGGGAGGGGAGGCAGTCAATACAGAATGCTTGGTTTGATATAATGACATGTTATTGAGCAGGTCTTCACTGTGGGCAACTGGAACTTCTTCCTGCTGAGGGACTCTGAGAGCCGGTGTAGGCCGGCTCAGGAGTTGGGGGTGAGAGGGAGTTAGGGTACTTACACACCCTCTTTTGTGAGTCATTGGTAAGGGCCAGTCTCGAAGTGCTGTCACGCAGCCAGAAAAAGCCTTCAGGCCAAGAAGCACTGGCCTTGGCAGGTAGGAGTGGACAGGTGTGCACTAAAGTGACAGGGGAGGGACATTGGGGGCATCTGCTGCCACCTGGTAGTGCCACACGACAGGTTGTGGGTCCTTCCATGTGTTCAGTGTGTGTATGGAAACATCGAAGGTACAGTTTTTGACCTCAAAAAGCTTTTCTTCCTCACAAACACTAGTATTAATGAAAAACAAAGAATACTCAAGAAATCAAACAAGAGTAGCTTGAAGGACGATGTGATCATTGTGTGACAGTCTGGGACTGCTTTGTGGAGAGGACGTACAGGTTTAAGGGTGCTGTTCTGAGTGCCTCATATTCACTCCATTGAGGAAAGGGGATTCTCCTACCTCAAATAGTAGAAGACTAAACACGTGACACTGAACAGGTGACACCAGACAGGTGAGACTGACAGCAGTGAATTACTCACATGTGCTCACAGTCTGTGGGAGAGGACACTGCATGTCATGCAAGGCCACTCTGGGGTGGTATGAGAAGTAGAGTGAACCAGCAGGGGCTGTCACAGGCAGGCTTCGTAGGGACAAGAAGATGGGGTAACCCTTGGTTCCCATGGGAGAATGTCATGGACTTGTTGGAATCACTGTATGCACTGGCAGGGAGGGGAAACCTATTAGGGTAAGAATCTGGATGGTGTCCCCTTCCTGCAGGGTGGAGGGCATATCTGGTGAGAGCAGAGGAACTCACAGTTCAGGCTTCAGGGCCCCACAAAGCTCAAAGATGTCGAGGCAGCACGTGGACTGTCAGGACTTACAATACAGGAGCCTGGTAAATAGTGCTACTCCTCTCCAATCAGGTTCTAAACCAATCAAGAAATAAAGCAAATGGTAAGAAAGATGGATGCCAGACTCTGAGCTCTGATGACACTCAGTTTGGAGAGCAGGGCTTTCACCTTTGGGCACCTCAGAGACTTCACAGGTGTCCTTCTCACCATGGGAAGTGGTCAGTTTAAACAACATACTATAGGCTGGGCGAGGTAATCCTAGCATTCTGGGAGGCTGAAGCAGGTGGATCCCTTGAGCTCAGGAGTTCCAGACCAGCCTGAGCAAGAGAAAGACCCCATATTTAATAAAAATAGAAAAGTTAGCCAAGCCAACTACTGGGGAGGCTGAGGAAAGAGGATCTCCTGAGCCCAAGAGAGATTGAGGTTGCTGGGAGCTGTGATGACACAGAAGCACTCAAGCCTGGGGCAACAGTGAGACTCTGTCTTAATAAAAATTAAAAAAAACAACATACTATAGCTTCCTACATGCCTTATGTACATTTACATTTTCAGAACCTGACAAAAAGCTTGAGAGTAAGGTCATTATTATTATGCCCCTTTCACAGAGGAATAAACTAAGTCCCCCAAGCATAAGTGATTTCTCCAACTGCACAGAATGTGTTCAGGTATCCAGCTGGAATCCAGGTCTTCCGAATTACTCCTGGGCCTGATCTATTTTTTGATTTATTTGATGACAATTCTGAATTTTAGAACATCTTACAGAATGAAGATGATATTATTGAATGGAAAAAGAATTCAAATTTAAGCACTGGCAACTGAATAAGCTGGAATGTGGATTTCCCATTGGCATTGGTATTGAGATACTGTCCGTAGTGGAAGTAGATTGAGAGAGAGCTATTATGTCCCAAACTAGTTCTGCATTATCTCAGGACTTTTGACTAAATATGGTAAGCAAAATAATAACCCCACACACACCCCAAGATATCCACATCCTAAGTTTCAGAACCTTTAAATGTTATATAGTATTATATACCAAAGGGGAATTAAGGTAGCAGATGGAATTAGGTTGCTAATTGGCTGATATTAAAATAGAGAAATTATACTGCAGTCTGTGACACAAAGACTAGACTGGCCACTGCTGCCTTTGAACAGGGAAGATGTCACCAGCCATGGAATACACACATCCCTAGAAAAGGCAAAAAACAAAAACAACCCAGCACCTCCAGAAAGGCATGCTCCCTGGCTGACATGCCTTGATTTTAGCAGAGTGAAAACCATTTCAGACTTCTGACCTCCAGAACTATAAGGTAAATTTGTGTCATTTAAGCCAGTAAGTTCGTGGTCATTTGTTATAGCAGCAGTAAGACACAAATTCACTTGGTCACAACAGAGAGACAGTGATTGTGAAGGGTCCTTGTCCCAGTTGAGGGTGAGCTAGACCTGTGAAGCTGGTACCACCCAGGCAGGCACAGGTCCAGCCACCACTGTGCATTACAAATACACCTGGCTGGGGGTGCAACCAGTAGTTGCAATTGGATCCAGCTTCATCCTAGATCTTCCAAAGCCACAAGCAAGGGATGGACCCTCCTAATGAGACTCAAGGGATCAGAGTTATCAGCAGGCAGGAGGCAGGCTACAGAAGATAAAACAACCTCACGGCAGAAATATTGCCAGGGACAAGAAGAACTAACATAGCAGGAGGTCTTCTTGGTTCAGCTGAAGACCTGAGGAAGTGATCAAAAGGGTGTGGTTACAAAGGAAAGGTAAGTGGAATTGAACTTTCTACAGAGGGCTTCCTGCTCTTAGCTGCCCCAGCCACTGAAGTTCCAGGTGTGGGGTACACTTTCATTTCCAGGGTTGATTTGTGTCCTCTCGTACAGTGATATCTCTCATCTTCCTCCACATTCTCCTGCCACTCCTCCACATCCCCCGTAAAATGCACAAAAATGGTGCTAGGGCACCAAAATATGTAAACAGGTGCCATTAGGTCTTTCTGGAAAGAAAGTATTTGACACAATGCAAATGAGCTTATTTCACATGAACAGTTCCAGACTGTCTTTTCTAGCCGGGCTTTCCCACACAGTGTAGCTTACTGGAAAGAGTAGCGGAAATCCTTATGAGGTCAAGGTGACTTCACTGACCACCTCATTTGAGCATAAGACAGTCTAGGTGGGTGGGTGTAAAAGCTTTGTATTAGGAGCCCCGAGTCTGATTCCTGCATAACATGAACTTGGGCAAGACATATACTTTTTGTTAGAGTCCTTAGATTCTACCACAAACCCAGCCTGACTCTTCTGCCTCTGAAATGCAGGATGACACCTCCTGGGACGGGGAGGAAGCCCTGTACACAGCCCTTCCTCCACCTCTAAACTGTGACTTATTTGGAAGTCAAGAGCTTTGAGAGTGTTATAGGCAGAATGGCAAGATGGAAACCCAAGGTGGAATAATAGGACTCTTAATAAATAGGCCACAAATATTTCTTGAAAACCTATTATGTACAAAGCATTTTACAAAAATTATTATTTTTAATATTCACAGCAGCCCTATAAGGTAGGCATCATTTTATCCCAGGTTGCCTTTGAGGGAATGCACCTCAGAGAGATTGGGTGATTCATCCCACACCCCAAAGCCAATTGGTTGGACCCAAAGCTTTTGCTGTTTCCACTACGAACCATGTTGGTAAAGTAAGATGAAGCGTGGGATTCGTTACGCCATTTTGTCTGCTTTCATGTATGTTTGGCGTTAGTTAAAAACTAATGCTGTTTCCAAACTCACATTATCATTTTGGTATCATTATTATTATTGCTGTGTTCCCTCCCTCACCAGATACCTCGCCATCGTCCACCCCCTGAAACCGCGCATGAATTATCAAACCGCGTACTTCTTGATCGCTTTGGTCTGGATGGTGTCCATCCTCATTGCCATCCCCTCGGCCTACTTTACAACAGAAACCGTCCTCTTCATCGTCAAGAGCCAGGAGAAGATCTTCTGCGGCCAGATCTGGCCCGTGGACCAGCAGCTCTACTACAAGTCCTACTTCCTCTTCATCTTTGGCATCGAGTTCGTGGGCCCGGTGCTCACCATGACGCTGTGCTACGCCAGGATCTCCCAGGAGCTGTGGTTCAAGGCGGTGCCCGGGTTCCAGACGGAGCAGGTGCGCAAGCGGCTGCGCTGCCGCAGGAAGACCGTGCTGGTGCTCATGGGCGTGCTCAGCGCCTACGTGCTGTGCTGGGCGCCCTTCTACGGCTTCACCATCGTGCGCGACTTCTTCCCCGCCGTGTTCGTCAAGGAGAAGCACTACCTCACCGCCTTCTACGTGGTCGAGTGCATCGCCATGAGCAACAGTGTGATCAACACTGTGTGCTTCGTGTCGGTCAAGAACAACACCATCAAGTACTTCAAGAAGATGATGCGGCTCCACTGGCGCTCCCCCCACCAGGGCAGCAAGTCCAGCGCCGACCTCGACTTCAAAGCCAGCGAGGTGCCGCCCACGGAGGAGGTGGACTGTATCAGGCTGAAGTAACCCGCCGGTGTCACACCATTGGAAACTGCAATTCAGCATTGCCTGTCATCAACCAAGTTCACGGTCTGCGTGGGAAAGGGCATCTGTGTTCATGGCTCTCTCCCTCCAGGGATGCTTCTAACTCATCACATGCAATGAGACTAAAAAGCTGCAGCATGACATTTGCTGAGATCTGCTCAATACCTGCTGTGTGCACAGACAAGGGGACTAGCCACCCGGAGCAGCCGTTGACATTGACCCCACACCTGCTGTGTGCACAGACAAGGGGACTAGCCACCCGGAGCAGCCGCTGACATTGACCCCACACCTGCTGTGTGCACAGACAAGGGGACTAGCCACCAGGAGCAGCAGCCCACCTTGACCCCACACCTGCTGTGTGCACAGACAAGGGTTCTAGCCACCAGGAGCAGAAGCTGACATTGACCCCACACCTGTTGTGTGCACAGACAAGGGGACTAGCCACCAGGAGCAGCCACTGACATTGACCCCACCCCTGCTGTGTGCACAGACAAGGGGACTAGCCACCAGGAGCAGCCGCTGACATTGACCCCACAGCTACAGTGCGCAAACCACCCCAATGGGATCAAACAAGGACAGTGGGAGCTGACAGCTAACTGATTACCTACAGTGTGTGAAAACATTTAAAAAACAAAACAAAATGGCAGAAGCTATCAGAATCCCCAAACCGTATGCAGTTACATAAATAGCCAAGTAGAGGCCACAGATGATTATCTGGACTCAGCCTCCAATTAGTCTTCTCAAAACTACTTAATGGGAAGTTTAAGATACTTTTAACATACTTATCTCATTCTGTATCTTATCAGTGTAGGAGAGTGCATTGTTCAAGTTGACTCATGCATATTTGATCAACTTCTAATTTTCTGTAGAGAAGGGCTTCATTTAGTTGTTTGTTTGTTGTTTATTTCTCCAATAGTAAAATTTCAAGGCTACAAGAGGAAGGCACTGGGACAAAGATACAATGGAAATCGCAAAGATGAGCTCACCAGTGTGGGCCTTACAGCCTCATGGAAGGAGAGTTTGAGCTTTACCACTCAGTTCCCAGGACATTCTCTAGGATTCTGGCTGCCAGGAAAAAAAAAAAA